AGTTCTTTACATGAATTTCTTAGTTTTTATGCCTATAAGCAAATACTCAAGTATTTAATAAAATTGCAGTTTTACAAAAGACACAACTGTATAATGTTTTCAGTGATTGTTATATTTTAATAATTTATTCTTTTAAAGAATGACATTCCTGTTTACATTTCATAACTGGTTAGTTGATTATTCTTCATATCAAAAATTATAACTGCTATAAATAGAAAATAAGCTTGACTTAATTAAAAATTGAGATATATTGACAGAGAATATAATGAAGCTACTTTAAGAAATATATTTCTTCCCCCAAGAAAGAGCTAACTGCAAAATATGAGAAAATCTAAGAAATCAGTTTTTCATATTTAAACTAGTAGATTAACTAAAAATAAAGCCTTTACAAAACTTTTCCATGCAGAAGAAATAGAAACAGAAACATCTTGAAGTGTTTTCATTGCCTTCTACAACCAAAGATATTCTTGATTGCATAATATAACAAGTAAAGCCTTAATGTTTGGTAAAGTAGAAGGTAAGAGAAAATAAAGGTCCTACAACAAGGAGAAGATAAAATAGATGAATAGGATCTTCTAAGAATCAAATCCCTATGCACATCCAAAAACTTCTCCAACAGGGTAAAAAACGAAGCCACAGACTGGGAAAAAGTATTTGGTAATGACATATCAGATAAGGGACTTATATCCAGAATTTAAAAAATACTTGAGTACCACAACAAGATAAAGGTAAATAATGCAATAGAAAAATGAGCACAGGTTATGAACAGACACTTCACCGAAGAAGACATTTGATGGCTAACAAGCATATGAAGAAATGTTCAAATTCCCTAGCTCTAAGAGAGATGCAAATCAAAACAACTATGAGTTATCATCTCACCCCAGTAAGACTAGCAAAATTTAACAGAACAGCAACCAACAAGGACTGGCGAGGTTGTGGAGAAACTGGAATCCTTATTTACTGCTGGTGGGAGTGTAAAATGGTGCAATGCCACTGTGGAAGCAGTATGGTGCTTTCTTAAAAAGTTGCAAATAGAGATACCATTTGACCCAGCAATTCCACTACTGGGAATAAACCCCAAAGAGACCATAACTGACATTCAAGCAGATATATGCACACCCATGTTTATTGTGACTTTGTTCACAATAGGAAGGAGTTGGAAACAACCTAAGTGCCCATCAGCAAATGAATGGATAGAGAAGCTGTGGTATATTCACACAATGGAATACTATGTTGCATTGAAAAACAAGGAACTCATGCAATATTATTCAAAATGGGTAACCATGGAGGACATTATGCTGAGTGAAGTCTC